CATAGACTTGAAATTGAACTCCCAAACTTAATGTTCATTTATGCTCTCCCCTTGAACATGAGATTTGGGATAGGACATATGCTCAAAGAAAGAGACATCCATGATGGTGTAAAATCTTTTGTTGGTTGGAGAATAACATTTGTACCTTTTTTAGTTGGAGAAAGAGACATCCTAGAAAGATACACTTATTTGCTCTATGATCAAAGTTGTTATGTTGTTGAGGATACACAAATGTCGTTTAATCAAATACCTTCAGTGATAAATCGTATGAAGTTGCACGTGTGAGGAAAATTTTTCAGAAGCTGACGTGGAGATTGAAAATTAAGAACTCTGGATGACATACGATTGATCAAAAGGTAACTGTGAGAATGACTTCCCCCCAAAATTATTTTGGAATATTAGAGGAAAATATAAGACACTGGACAAACTCCAAGAGATGTCTATTCTTGCGCTAAGCCGCTCCATTTTGTTGAGGGGTGTCAACATAAGACTTATGTGGATAATCCCATGGTTCTGAAAGTAGGCATTTAGACTATTAGTGTTCTCTAGCATTGTCTGACTTGAGTACCTAAATTCTAGAGTTGAATTGATTTTGAACCATAAGATTTAAGGTTTGAAAAGATTGTCCGACCTCTAACTTTCTTTCAGAAGGAAAACTCGAAGTTACCCTTGTATGAGCATCAACAAATGTCACAAATCATCGAGTGCCTAAAACATTTTTGATCGTTGAGGGACCCTATACATGGATCAAAGAAAATGCAGTCGAAGGTTTGTATGGAATTTGAGGATATACAGTTCGAGTATGCTTTGCAATCTGACAAGTTTCATAATAAAAAGATGCAGGACTTTTTTTATAAATAATTTAGGAAATAATTTTGCAAAGATACATAAAGCTTGGATGACTAAGACGATAGTGTAATAATATAATTTTATTATCTTTACTGATATTATAATTGGACACAAAATTGAGAGATTCTAATAGACTCTGAGATTGGACGCAACTTGTTTGAGAAACGTGTTTTGGGGATCGGTCGCATGGGAGGAGAAGAGCTCGAAGCATAGTTCAACATTGCCAATCATCTTCCCTGATTTTATGTCCTTAAAAACACATAAATTTCGATAAAATTAGTAACAAATTGAAGGTCACGAGCCAATTTGTTAATGGACAAAAGATTATAATCCATGTTCGGAACATGAAGGATAGAGTTGAGATACAACTCTTTAATAAGTTGGATGGAACCTATTCCAACAATTTTTGAATTTGAACCATGAGCAATACGGACGATTGATCGCTACTTGGCTTATAATTTTGGAGAAGGGCAGCATCTTCTGGCATATAATCAAAAGCACCAATGTCGAGTATCCACAGTCTCATGTCTCCTTTTTTAGTATTGAAGGAAGTATGTGAATCTGTTTGAGCAACCAAACTTGTCCCAATAATCTTACTACTACCAACTTGGCTAAATAATTTTTGCAGCAAATGCATCTGCTCTTTGCTAAATTGGCTAAATGGGCTAGGCTCGGGAACAGGAGCACTCTCAGAGTTGGAAGTCACATGTGCTTTGCTGTCTCTATCAAACTTTGTCTTTAGTTTCCAATCAACTGGTTTGACATGGAAAGCTTCCAACAAGTCTCCTTGTAATGAACTGGTTTCTTATAGTAATCACATCAAAGCCTTCCCCTTTCTAACAATTTGCACCATTGTTGTTAGATGATTGGACAGCAAGGGAAGATGTATCTAACATTGATGCGCGTTGTTCCTTAGATCTCATCATTACTTTCTTTATATTTTCTTCACACCTAACCTCTGAGAAAGCCTCCCTAAGATTTGGTGCCCATGACTCGACCTCTAGCATTATCCAAGTCGTTGTTAAGTCCCAAGAAAAACTTGAACAACATTTCTTGTTCCACAATCTGCTTGAGTGATGCCCCAGAATTTAATTTAGAAGAATTATTTTTTTTATCTTTTAATATATAATAGCCAAAGCAACCTAATTTCTTTTATCAATATAAATATCAGCATAAATAAAACTATCGATCAAAATATCAATATATACATTTGTATTTATTTTCTCAAAAATCATATACACTATTCATGATCTATACAATCATATCACACATATTCTGTTCTGCGTACAAAAGAATATCTAAAATGATAAGAAATTGAACTCTAACGTTCATGGTCAATCTCACAACTCTGCTATCTTGCCTTAACTTTAAATCATGTAACGACGTATAATGAACTCAAAAGCTCAACAACTAATTAAATCCTACAACTGAACTCAAAGCATGACAAATGAATAATATGCATGTCAGCAATCAAATCATAGCAGTAATGTTATGCGATTATGAATCAATGTAACACCAGTAAAACTTATATGAAGTAGCAATAAAGTTTATAAATGGTAAAACAATACAGTACAAAAGCCAGCATAATAGTGCATTGGAGAAACTAGTAAATCAGTACAAGCGTCGAATTAATAAATCAACCATCTCTATCAATCAGTAAAAAAATTGTATAAAGCGAAAAAACAGAAGTATTGAGAATAACTGTTAGAATCATATTAAGGCAGTAAAATCATATAAATGTATGCACATGCATCATATTACATGCTCAGTATATCACATGCTCAGTATCAGTGCAATGAATCAGTAGTATTAAAAAATATTGGTGTTCATATCGGTAATAGTAACAGTAGAATGTCATCAACAAAGCTGGTGGCAGTAGTAGTAAAATAATGCAGTAACAATGAATCTGTACAGTAATAGCAAATCAGTACAACAATTGTAAGGTCATACAATAACAATAAATTAGTAACATGCATTTCAGTAATCATACTAAACAAGTATGAAATCCTAATTTAGGCTGTGTTTTTCAGTAGTAAGGTAGTTGTTAATAATTGTGGGCTTAGTAAAGAGAGTTGGCACTTTTTGCTTGTCGGCACAATAATAACTCCTTATATCTCCTAATTAGTGTATCAAGTAAATCAGTACAGGATAACACCTAATCATAATATTTAAAGCAAAAGCTTGTCGGTCCATCATTCTATACAAGTCAGTCAATCTCCAGCTAACATTAGTGAAACCAACTTTTACTTGTTTTCATACATATTATTATCACATTTTTTTTTTTTTTTTAACATATTATTATCACATTATTATAATAGTAATAGTGACAAACTATTACCCAATCACATGCTCATTTTCATTGACAATACTTCTATTAACTGCGTGCTTAAATAAAATATCCAATTAGTTCTATTCAGTAGGAATCACACAAAATACAATAACTTTCATTTTAGCAGATGAAATTCAATAATATTAGTCAAAATGCTCTTATTGATGATATTTATCACATACCAAAAATTATACGTTGAAAAT